TATTTAAAGTCTGTATATAGCAAATTTAGTACCGGCCTCTGCTTATCCTCGCTTTATATAATTACACTCAAAGTGGCTATGGCGAAAATTTACCTGTTTCAACCTTTCCTTGATCAAAAATCGTATTTTCTGCCTGTGACAGTTTTAGAAGTGCTCTCCTGAAATTGTCCACATGCGAGTTTGTGTCAGCATCCAACGGGCCGTTGTTGATGTGCAAGAAATCTAATTGCACGTGCAAATGCTGCGCGTGCAATTTTTTGAACTGATTTGAAAAAATAAATCTTTCACGAGAATTAGCGATATGGATGATCAAGAATTACAAGCTTTTCTTCTAAACGTTATTGCAATTTTGCTGCTGTTTACAGCTATTCAACCTCCGATTTATGAAGAGGCAATTTTGCCTCTAAATCGACGTTTAATGCCAAATTTCCACGGTCATGGGTTTAATGGTAGAGATGTTTATACTATGATATCTAGCCAACCCTGGTTGTTTTGGAGGAACACTGGGGAGACATTACATTCATTCCAGCAGCTGGTAACAGACCTGTCGCCAATATTGATAAGACAAACAGTTCATGGACAGCCACGGGTGCGGCAACGCCGTCAAATCATCAACTTTGCTAACCAAATACTACTCGTCCTCATGTGGCTGAGAAAGTACCTTCATGTAGATAACTTGGCTCTTTGGTTTAATATCGATCCAGCATCTGTAGTCCGCATCATATACAAAGTTGTACCGGAATTCTGGCAATATTTTCAGAATCAAATTAGTTGGCCCAACTTACAAGAATGGAACAATCTTGCAGGTAACTGGCCTGAATTTCCTCATGTAGTTGGAGCAATAGACAGTACTCCCCATGAGATATATCGCCCAATAACAGAGCCTCAAAGGTTGTTCTACAGTGGCCATCGTCACTATCACTGTATTCACACTCAGCTCGTCATTGATAATCAAGGTAACTTGAGGTTTGTTCAAGCAGGTTTCCTTGGTAGCACACATGACGCTACATCTTACCGGCTTATGACACCAATTGGACCTGGGCGTCCTTTAGCTCTCCCTCCTGGATTAAAGCTCTTGGCAGACAAAGCCTACCCAGATGGTGGTCCACTTATCACAACCGTCAGGGCAAATCAAATGCGCCTTCTTCATGGTCGAGACAGACGCCGGGCTAAAAAGTTCAACAGACGCCTATCYAGTAGAAGGATAAAAGTCGAGCACGTTTTCAAAGAGATAAAAACTTATAAGTGTATCAGCACCATATGGAGACATCCAAGGTGGTTACTCCCTCCAGTCGTTGAGCTTGTGGCATTTTTGGCCGAAAGACGTGTCAAACTTTTTGAAAGTATTTGAAACTTAGCTTGTATTAGATGCTTCATGGTTCTGTGCTATGATAGAAATTATAACAAGGTTTGGCACGAAGACTGAAGCATGTTAAGTCGATCTAATCGGAACATGAAATGTTCTTGTTTTGTTGTGATGTAATCATAATATGATTAAAGTAGCAAAAATAGAGAAAATATAGAGTCTGTATTACATGATTACATGAATTCATTTTACAGTAAATAAATTTGCATAAGATAAACCAATTTGCATTTTTTGTATCGTTATGTGAAATCGTTCTA